GTCATGTATTCAGTGCTCCTATGATTGCTGGATTCCAGAGCACGATTTGTGAAGGAGAACGTTACATTACTGTATGAATCAATGCAAAATCCCTGCTGGCAGAGTGGCTATTGAAATAGCCTGCATGCCTGTATAGCGTAGTTATAAGCAGTTACGTGCTAGTGTAAATATTAAAAAATAGAAATATACCCAATATATAAATAGCTGAGGGGAATAAACCCCAGGGAAGAAAAAGAACAATTTAAGCTGAAGGACAATGTGGGCACAAGCAAAAACAGGTTTAAACTGTCCGTGAATAAGTTTAAACTGGATATGAGGTGTCTAACCATGAGGCGGGAGGTTCTGGAGCAGCTGCCTAGTAGGAGTAGCGGGAGCAAACAACTTAACTATTTTTAAGATGGAGCTTGATAAATTTATGATCAGGGTTGTGATACAATTCCCTGTGCTAATAGGGGCCTGGACTTGGTGACCCAGGTAGTCCTTTCTTGTCCTAATATGCCAGAAGTAAACACATACAAAGGAGGATTTCACAAAAACCATAAATGCAAGGCTAGACAATGTCACTTCCAAACTAAGGACTGTTCTACAGAAAGTCACATTTTATTTCACATCTTTTGTTATTTCAGCACCATTGGTGTGGGGACACTCATATTTTGGATTAACGGGACAATTTTGATTTAGTGAAATTCTAAGGCCTGTGTTATGCAGCATGTCCGATTAGATGATTATGGTCCCTTCTGGCTTTTCAAACAAACAATAAAACCAACACCATGAATGTGTTGGTTGCTTTTAATTACTTGGGACGGGAGCACTCACACTATGATTACCTAGACAGACTGTTACAGTTTCACATACTGCAGAAGATAGTGTAGTATCAATGCACAGCCCTAGCTTGAAGTCCAGTACCCATATGAGAGGGGAGAACAGGCAATTGTGTGAATGCAAAGAGTATCTTTCATGCCATGCTGCCCCCAGGGGTTGCTCTGTGTGTCTCAACTCAGGATATTTAAATTGCAGTTTACCCACCTTTTTCAGCTCTCTCAGGATAGCTGATATTAGAGGCTTGAATTTGACATTCCCAGAGTTTATGATTAATTGCTTTACCTCTTGTTGCTGTGATGTATTGGATACTGTCAGTCTAAGAAATCATATTTGATATGATCAGTGTTACTGGCAAAGGGGAAATTACAGAGGCAAACCATCATCTCCTAGTACTCCTTTAGCAGCAAACATCTTTATTCTGACCAAAGCGTATCCAGAGAAAAGAGAATTAGAGGCAACTGGTTTGAGACTGTTAACATGGCTAGGAACTTGTTTCAAAAGACAAACAAACCCCACACTAGAATTCTGGGGGGTGAGGAGGATTCATTATATGGTGTGTAGTTGTCTAATTTGCAGTCTCCTTTCCAATTACCCTATTCATGTCACAAAGTATGCACTTGCACAAAACTTATTATCACGATGCAGATACCAAGGATGCTTTCCTGGTCATATGACAATCCGGTTGACACATGGATGACACAGAGTAGCCCAGGGGCATAACAGAAGGCCTCCAGAACAGCAGGTAGTGACATGAGGCTGGCCTGAGACACAGGTGTCAGAAAAGGGGTGTGAAATTTCAGCATCCTGAAGAACCGACACAGAGAATTCTGAAATGCAATAATCTTTGCTGATGTATCTGCATAGATCACTCAAGTTTATAGGACAATGATCTCCACTTTGCCTACATCTTATGTAATGAGGTATGCAAAACTGAACACAGTATTTCCAGCTCACCAATACTTGAAAAGAATACCTACCTTCTGTGACATAATGCCTCTAGTCTTGAATCATGTCATTTTGCTGATACTAAAATTCAGCAAACTTGTCTTTCAGAAGTATCGCTTTCATGGTCCATCCCTTTAAAAATGCCTCTTTTAGCTTATTTCCTTTCTCCTACCACCACCCCATATCCTAGGTATGGTCTTGTCATACATCTTTCCAAATTCCAAGCAAAAAATTTATTGACCCAAACATATTTATAAAGAGCAAAATAATGTCTTTCATTTTTCAAATGCTAAAGATACATTTGGTTATTTTTTATGAGACTAGTATTTAGTGAAATTTGCTGACTAGCCACTAACCATGTCTGCAGCTGTATTCTTTTCACACACTCTTCCATTTATGAGGAACAAGGAACTATTTTATCTTTCCAATGAGAGCAACACATCGCTTACTGTGCTGTATCCTGTCTCTGAAACCTGTCACAGGGATCTGGTAAATCATCTCAAGAATAAAGTCAGATTGAGCAGATCCTGATTCTATTCTGGGGGGGAAAAATCCCCAAAGTAACTCATTTGCAAGCTTTTACGATTTTGCTGCAGTCGCAGGAAAAGTTAATTTGTAGTCTGCATTTCCCCTGAAAGATTCAATTCAGTGAGTCTATGGCAGCGTGCACCAGTAACATTTACTTCAGCATTTCAACCGGTCCATTACCTAAACTCTCCAAGGGCTTGTTAGTGCAGGCCGACATTTCATTACTACAGCTAATACTCTTCCCACCTGTCTGTTTTCTAATGTCCTCCTGGGTTGCTAGGGCATCTCTCAGTAAGAGCAGGGACATGTCCCATCTCGAGTTAACTAATAGCCAAGGGTTGCATGGAGTCAACTTTCCCCTCTACCGCCAATTCTTGTAGTATGATTGTCCCCCTCAGATAATTCATTATCTTCCACAGATAAGGGCTGATTAGTAAGGGAGTGACTGGTCATCAACGGAGGTACCTCCAAAATGAGCTCCAAAGAGTGCTATGGCAAGATGAAGCAGGACAGTAGAAGGCAGATTTAGCAAAAACATGTTTCAGCTGGGAAAAGTCAAGTCTGTTGGGAAAGTTGTTGAACGACAAGGTAAGTGAAGTAATATGTTTTATTGGATCAACTTCTATTGGTGGAAAGGACAGAGATTTGTGGAGCTGCAGGCTTTGGCCTGAGACCGAGACGTGTCTTTGCAAATGCCTGATAGGCCAGCTATAGATACTTATTGGAGAATCAGATTTCTAGACTATGAATGGGAAGGGAGGACTTAAAATTGTTCAAGAAGCCCACTCACTGCTCCTCAAAGAGGGCAGCTGCCACCTCAAGCCATGAAGAATTCAGCACATGCTTTTTGCTGCAACTTTCTCAGAGGCAGATGAAGGACAACGGGATGGCATGGAAGACGGACCAGCAGGTCATCAAAACAGTGAGTGGTAACTTCTTTCCCTTGGATTTACTGACAAACTATACAGTTTTGGTCACATATTTAAAGGCTAGCTTTACAAGTCTGGATTCAAAGCCTGTCCAGTGTTAAAGGTTACTTTCTAATTTACATATTGTATAAAGCATGTTATTTGTCATATACTCTCTTGCATTTGAACTTTACAACCAAGATTATCAAAAACAGGTGCTTAGTTAGGCTCTTAATTGACAGGTTTCAGAGTAACAGCCGTGTTAGTCTGTATTCGCAAAAAGAAAAGGAGTACTTGTGGCACCTTAGAGACTAACCAATTTATTTGAGCATGAGCTTTCGTGAGCTACAGCTCACTTCATCAGATGCATCTGATGAAGTGAGCTGTAGCTCACGAAAGCTCATGCTCAAATAAATTGGTTAGTCTCTAAGGTGCCACAAGTACTCCTTTTCTTTTTGCTCTTAATTGAGTTCATCCTGACTTTTGAAAGTGGATGGGCATCCTCAGCGCCACCTGAGCTATTTGAGCTGCAGAGCATTCAGCATTTTTGAACATTTTGCCCAGATATGGATGTAAGAGGCCTTATGGACCAGAGAGTTCAAGAACAGGAACCTAAAAATCTTGGCCTAGGTATCTGTAAAAGTCGATAAACTGGACAAGTTCTAGTTCTGTAACTAAGTACAGTATTTTTCCTTTCTTTCCCAACACACTCAACCCAGATCCTAGACTTTTGGCAGTATCTTGTAACTGACTTTCAAGCTCCTTGCATTTAAGTTTTCTCAGAAGTAAATGCCAATACATTCCCTATTTAATTGTAAAAATATTGGCTTCTCAGTCTGAGAATTTTGCATCTTATCCAGATAATAGTTTTAGAAATGGATTTATTCTTTGAATGTTTTTAGCAAGTTAACAATTTGTAAAAGACAGGCACTCTTGAGCATTTTACCCTTCAAGTCCCATTGACTTTCAATGAGAAGTCCCATTTCTCAAAGTGACTCAGTTATATGGGAGCCAAGGCCCTTAAGTCATTTAGGTGTTTTTGACAAATTTACCACACTTGTGTAATTGCTACAGAAAGTATGGATTCCAGGAAGGGTTTAAATTGTGTCTCAAGTATATAAGAAGACTGCTAAGAGCATGATTTTTAAAATATTGCCGTGTGATTGCCTTAAAGTTGAGACCGAAGCTATACTATCATTCCACGTGTATGTGACAGGTTCTAGTGACACCACATTCTAATGTAGCAAAATGAAAAGCGTTACCTTGCCACCAAAACTAGAGCTGAGCAGATGGTACAATCACATTTAGAGTTTAGCAAAATTCCATATCTTTAATCAAGTGCCAGGTGCATTTTTCATCTTATGTATATGCCAAGAGTCCAAATTTAACGGATTTCTCGGACAAATTTTTACGTGCTTTGTCTTTGATAGTTACTTTGACAGCTGGTAGAGTATGGAAAGATTTGCCCTTGTTATCACAAAAACGATATTTTCCCTCCCACTTTCATTCCATGTTTAATAACTGATCGTATGCTTGACAAAAAAGGAAAATTAAACATATACTTAAAAATCTATTGGCAATGACTGCACAAGTCTTTGTTCTGAAAATTTATTTAGTACGGAATAGGCTCAGATAAATGATTGACTTGATAGGTTTTGAGGTCAGCATCAGGAAATTCCTTTTTAACGCCTTAGAGATGATTTTACTGAAATCAGTGCACACCGATTAGCAGTAACCACATAAACAACAAAATCAAGAGGTCACTGTTCTCAATAGATAACACACTTCCCAAGGGGGCCTGGTCCACATATAGTTTATTGATGTAATAAAACAATACAGTTAGTGTTAGATCCAACCACAGAGAGAGAAAGAATGAGTGAATGAAAAATTTGTACAGTACATATAGGAAATAGGATGTTTGTGAGACAACTACTCATTTCAAAATCAAAAGGTTTCTAAAATATATTGAGTTATTGAAATCTACATGAATACATGGATGTTAACAGCAACAAGGTGCATAAAAACCAAAACATCAAATATTGAGCAACTCAGTGATGTACTAGGCAACTTTGCTAACAATGCATGATGTCTTACGATCTGCTTGAAATATCACCTATACCACACAGGGTAAACAAAACATTTAGATTTAATCTCAGATACACAATATTCGCATGAACTTCCACAACTACAGGCAGGGATTTTTCTGAGCTGGCGAAGTGACTACTTTAGGAACATCAAATCCTCTCTGTAAATTAAGAGAATGTATCCAAATAAAATGCTGCTATAGTCCTTTCCAGATAAAACCCTTCCCTTTTACTTAATACTCATTTCAGTCATAAGCATAATACAGCATTTAAGAACACAGTTTATATTACAACATGACTAAAACAATGACATCCTCGAGAATTAAACATGATTTCATAGGCAAAAAACAAAAACTGTCAAAGATTCTTCTCCTTAAAAACTAGTTTTATAAATGTAGACTATATTGCATGAGGAATTGCTGGTATTTTTCTTAAGAAAATATATTGTGCGATTGTGGCTACAATGCACTGCTGCAAAGCATTGTTGTTTCATATAAAAAAAATCATTAAAATAAAAATTTGTTTTAAAATAACTGACAAAGCATACATCTTCCCACTACTTATGAAGAGCAGGCAGGAAGTATTGACAGTTTTACTGTGTAACATTTTACTGATAAGAATCTTTCAGTGAAACTCTCCAGCCAAAAATAATAAAAAATAAATACGTTTTTAAAAACAGGTGCATATTTCAAAGCTGCTATTGCAAGGATGTTTTAAATGTAATGGACTTAAAGTCTATGTACCAAAGAACTATGAAAATGCACTATAATCTGAGTTGTTACATAAAGACTATATGAAAAAAGTCTGTCAAAATAAGTAAAGTAGAAAGGGGATCGAAACGGAACTAACTGAATTAGTGCAGTATTGTAGCCAGGCTTCTAAAATCAGATATAGAAAATATAAATAGACTGCTTTAGGTGATGATTCTCCAGTGTCCAAAAAAAGAACAAGTATTGTGAAAACTCAGTTAACTTGATCCAGAGCTCTGAGCAATTCTTCACCCTGTAGCAGGTTTCTGCTGCCTTGTATGGGAGCATTTACTTCGCAATCATAACTGGTAAGTTGTGGTAGTCCAGTCTCATCCATTGACTGTCCTAGGAGCTTACTCGCTATATCTAAAAAGGAAGAAGATAAAGATAAGGGCACAATACTTACTGTATTTTACATTTCCCAAATTAGCGTATAGGGCGAGACAAGTTCCATTAGCCAATACAGCTTTAATAATATTTAATTTCCCCCCTCCCTCCCACATATAGGAACACTAACCAGTTGATAGTAAGATGATTGTCTTTTGTCCCACGCCATTCTGGCCATTAGATTTGCACCCTTTTACACGTTTCCAACAAAGTGATGCATTCGCTCCACAATCTTCTGACTGCTGGAATAAAGATCCCTTTAAAAAAAAAAACAAAAAACCCAAACCACTTATTTCTGCAGCTCATGTATGCAAAAATTTCAAGAGGAAATCAATCACCAGTTCTTGTCACTATAGTTACTAACATGCTGCTACTATTTAAAACTGAATTCATTCAGTACCTGAGAGAAAAAGTTTAAGAGCAAATTAGTGTAGACTGATGTTTAAAAGTAAAAGCGAGTCACTTTAAAAACAAAAAACATTAAGAAGGATAAAGATAACCTTGGTTTTAATAAAACCAAACACCATCCTCAAAATTAGGGTGCATGTATATGTATACATACCACCCCCCCCCAGCCATCCCTTACTACTTTTGCTGGTCACTCCCACTGTCTGAGGAGGCAGCAGCGTTCACTGAAGTGAATGGAAATAAAAGACACAGGAGAAGAGAGGAGAACTACTATGGCATTACTACTGTTCCCAAGCCCCACGTGCACAAAAGGTTAAATGGTTTTTATATCTAGTTATGTGAATTTTGCTCCCACACGGCAATTATCTTGCCTCCCAGCTCAGCTGCCCCCTTTCTTTTGTTCTCATTGTCAATGTGTAGGGCCCTACCAATCTCATGGCCATGAAAAACATGTCAGGGACTAAGAAATAAGCCCCTCCCCCTGACATCTGATCCGCCTCAGCCAGAGTCCAGGCTGAGTGGGGGTGGGGCACGATTTCTTCTTCACCTGCAGGGCTGCTCTCAGGGGGGAGTTCAGACCCACCTCCATGTACCTTTTGGGTTGGGGCCCCCACAGTTACACCACTGTGAAAACCTGAAATTGACCAATTTTAAAACCCTCTTGCCATGAAACGGATCAAAATGGACCCTGAATTTGGTCGGGCCCTACCAATTTGGAATCCTGACTCGTCCAATCACAGGCATGGCTCTAGAATCACTTTTGACAGCAGTAGACAAGAGATTCTGTGGTACAGGAGAGAGCAGAAGGCTCTGTGTGCCTTCATAGGAAAGTTATTGCTTTCTGGAATAGGTAAGAAAACAGGTCTGCTAAACCAGAAAGCAAGACAAAAGGAAAAGCCAACCATCTACAGAAATGCTTAGAAGCTGGGCAACAGCCAGCAAGAGTGCTAATTCTGATGCCTGGATTTGGAAGTTCTGTCCTTTCTCTGGCTGTTGAACATGGAGGGGTGAAGACAGTGGAATGTTGGGAAAATCCTAGAGACTAACATACTCAGGTATGTTGCTTTTCACTTTGAATTACTTCACCTTTTCGCTAAGAATTTTCTGCGTATGTGAAATCTATAGAAACAAGAGAACCTGCCTTTGGTGTAAAAAAGGTTAAAACGAATGACTCAATAGTCAGAAGATTTAAAAGTTACATTTTCACAGTAAGGTTAACTCAGCCACATTGTACTAGTATATAACTAGTATATTTTTTTGCGCAACGTAACAGTTCACTTTACCTTTCCTAACCTTTGATTCATTCGTTTTGAAATCTTATTACACCAATGTATTTTTCTTTTTAACCAAGGATACATCTACACAGCAAGCAGCACCATGGCAAAAGAGTCTCAGACCCTCGTCTACAGTGGGGCATGCTACAGTGCTAAAAATAGCTATGTAGGCATTTGGGTTCAGGGATGGGCTTCAGAGCTCCAGCCCGAGCCGGAATGTCAACCCAGCTATTTTTAGTGCTGTAATGCAAGCCCCCTGAGCCCACGTCTGTAGATCCAAGCTCTGAGGCTTGCTGTGTAGATGTACCCTAAATGGCCTTGTTTTAAAAAAAAGTTACACAAATAGTATATTCCAGTTTCTCTTCATGCACAGAACTATGGAACGTTACACTGACAGGAGCATAAAATCTTATGTGTAGCTCTTCAAAACCAGGATCTATATTTACATAACCCTAAAATATGAGAGTATAAACCTAAACTTAGCAGCAGTTTTCTTTTACACGTGCGCAACACACATTTCAAATGCTTACAGCTCCATTTGGGGCAGGCTGTACAAGCTGGTTTGGAGCTAGTCCTCAGTAAAACCTACACAGGGGTGGTCAAATTTACTGACCCTCAATCATCAGAAGCTCAAGAGCCCCATGTGCCTGCTGGGGCTTGGGGCTCCAGCCCTGTGTGGAGGGGAGATTTCAGAGTTCAGCCCTGTGATAGGCGCCTGCTCAGGGTTTCGTCTCTGCAAGGGGTGGGGGTGGCTGCGTGTCTCTCAGAGCTTCAGCCCCACAGGGGGCGCCTGCACCGACTGAGGGCGCCTGCACCGACTGAGGGCTTCAGCCCTGCTCCTGCTGAAACCCTAAGCCCTGGCACACGTGCCCCAGAGGGCTGAAGCCCCGAGCCCCCAGCATGCGCACCCCGCAGGGCTGAAGCCCCGAAACCCCCCTCCCAGCCGGGCAGAAGCCAGAGCTGACAGGTGAGGGGGACGCGTGGGATCATGTGCCCCCCCCAGATTTTTGCCAGGGTTTGCTGTCCCTGCTTGGTCACATGGTGCTGCTGGGCCTCCTCCCTGCACGGTAGCTGCTGGAACCAGCAAGCTGGGAGCTGAGGCAGCAGGGAAAGGCAGTGGCAAACAGCTAGGAGCTGCAGGGAGAGCCGCTGATTTTGCTGCTGCCTCTCTCCGCAGAGCTAAGCAGCTGCCCCTCCCTGCAGGAGCTACCTCTCCATGCAGATTTAACATGTGGGAGCTGCAGGGAGGGGCCGCTTGAGGGTAAGAGGGGATGGTGTGCGAGGGGCAAGCATGACAAGGGGGGGGGGGAGGAGAGTCCTTTAATTCGTGTCCCCCCTCTCAGCGGGCACCAGTCATCTCTGGCAGAAGCCCCTAGCCCCACCACCACCCTGCTGCAGGGCAGAAGCTCCAAGCTCCCTCCCCCAAGTCTGATAGGCGGAGAATGGGTGGTGGGCTAACTGTAAAAGAGTCGCATGCGTCTCACAAGTCATGGTTTGGCCACCCTGACCTAGGCACTGGAAAATTTAATCTTTTAAAGCACAACCTTTGAGTTACCTGTGTTAAAAATAGTAATTTTTCAAATACATGGACAGAAAGACGTTGCCTTTAAGCAGAGACAAAATCAGTAATGGAAATTTTAGCTAAAATGAGAAACTGAGAAAATTATGAACGTGAGAAAAAAGGGGATGACAGGCACTGTATAAATGGAAGCCTGAACAGAACCTTAATTATAGCAGCTGGCTTACACTGCAATACACGAAGCTAGCACAGATCATTTGCTATTTTATCAGTGGTGACATCTGTTGAAATGGCCTAAATGGGAAAAATATGGCAGCCATAGCGACAATAAGTAAGACACATGCAGCAAGAATCATTAGAACATTGATGGAGAACGATGAATTCATAAAAGGCTAATCAGGAAAAACCAAACATGCATGTGAATGCAAAGAGCAAAGAATGAAAACACAGTGTTAGAATTTTTTTTTTTTTAAATAAAAAGATTAAGAGAAGCTAAGGAGAATAAAAACAAGAGTCTCTAAATTACCTAACAAAAAGCTTCAGGAGCTTTACAGAAGAACTGGATGTACAACAAGTTTCCCCCAGCCTTCTGGGAGACAAGAGGTAGATAGCCAGTAAACAAAATGTAAGCAGTCATTCCAAAGCCAGGACAGGATGTAGGGATAATTCACAATTCGGAAGAAAACACGCTTGCACTCTAGGGCATGCTAGCCTACAGCTACAAAGCAAAACAGAAAAAACAAAACGTCCCTGGCAGCAAGTCTTAGAGCCCAGGTCAACTGACTCAGGCTTGCAGGACTTGTGCGGTGGGGCTAAAAACGGCAGTGCAGGCATTCAGGCTCAGGCTCCGAAACGTAGCCAACCGGGGTGAGGATCTTTGAGTCCAGGTTCCAACCAGAGCCCAAATGTCTATACTGCTATTTTTAGTCCTGCAATACAAGCCCAAGTCAGTTGACCCAGGCTTTAAGACTTGCTGCCATGGGGTGTTTTTGTTTTTGTTTTTTGCTCCATATACACATTCTAAGACCACACTTATATTTCAGACCATCAAAGAATCAGAAAGTCTCGAGACGCATACTGTGATAGAGAATTAACTTGTGTGAAGTTTTTAAAGGGAATGGATTTTATTTGACAAGTGACATAGGCAATAAGAAATCTCTCTGAAGTTCTCAAGATACATCAAGGAGAGAGAAACGTAGCTGTACTAATGTCAAATCCCAGGATTTCAGAATACTGACTCAGTGTAAAAAAAACCCAAACAAACCCCAAACCAAAAATCCCCAGATGGAATTTTGCTAAAATAATTGTATGCAAGATGATAAAGTTGTGGAACACCCTGGTAAGTGAAACAATACAAACTACATAGCTGTTTAAAAGGAATTTTTCAGGTGCTATAAGGACAAGTGATGGGTTATTCACAAGTACAATCACTAAGTACAGGACAGACTATGCCCTCAACCCTCTTTTTAGCCCATAATGTTCCCATTCTAACATTCTGATTGTGTCTATTCAAGGCACAAATGTATATAACTATAAATATATTTCTATTTGTAGGATTTACACATCTTTCCAAATCTGTGCTGCTCCTGTTCCAGGTATTTGCACTCTCTGATTTTGAGGGACATGGAGATAAAGTTTGAAATAGTAATGACATGCACTGTTAGCAGGTGAACGTTCTTTTTAGTCTCATGTTCTTACAATGCCTTATTTTCTCCTTAGGAAACACATTCCAGGAAACTGTTTCACAAATGAAAAGTTTATCTTCTATCTAGCTGAGAAATTTGTCTGGGTGCAGAGGGTAGTTTAAAACTATTTTGACAGTGGGAAAGAATTGAAAATCAGGGGGTTTGCATTCAGGAAGACATAGGATGTTATGAACTTAAATGATTACTTTGGTCACAGGATTTTGCTGTACAACACTAGCTAAAGTCAGATTCTATATCAGTGGTTAATTCTGGAAACAGTAAGATTACAACTAATTTTAAAAGAAAAATAATACCAAAACTTACAATTCCCACTGCTTGAAAAAGCGAGCCATCATATTCCATCTTTCGCTTTCTCTGAGAGTTATGCAAAGCTAGCATCTTTGGATTTAGTTCTTCATTCATTGCAGATCTAAGAAAAATTGATTCAGTCCATTAAAGTTCCTACTATCCTCAAGCCAGTCTTTTATAAACACTTTGTAAAATAAATATTTCACAGTGACAGTCAAGTTAAATGTGTCCTAATTTTCTATGATTAGAAAGAATTCTAGCTTTAAATCTTGCTAAATCAACTACTTCTGATCCTAACATGGAAAACTGGCTGTCCTTTAAAAAGTTCTTCTCTACAGAAAAACAGAGAAAGCTTAAGTGTTTGTCATTCTGCTGTCCCTCCTTAGACAGCAGGCATGGGGAGAGCAATTAAAATATCCATTTTGCATGTCCATGCACAGGGAAAGCTACTTTGTTTTATCCAATGGATTGAAATTCTGATTTGGTGACACTGTATGTCATGATAAAAATCTGTTTTGGATGCTCATAATCCATATTGCTGAAGTCTGACTTATTTTAAGCATAACATCTAAGCTTAAGGCATAACTACAGTCTCCGCATTCATCACAAACTGGGCAAGAAATTACTTATGCATACCCTCTCTCAATTGGCTTACTGGACTGTTTTATTTACACAACTCAGGTATGAAGAGGAGCAGAACAAAAATATGAACAAGAATGGTTCAATTGTTTGTTTTCTATACAAAGGCTTGATGTAAATAAAAATGCAAACAAGGTTCTGGGAAATTAACTCCAGTCTACTGTTGAAGTGCACTAAACCTAAAATCTTCTTTTAAAGCACAAACTAAGGTGTATAGCTTATTCAAAAAAAGAGATCAAAGACAATAGCAGATAATACTGTACTGGCTAATTTCTTCAAGATTAATGGGTAATGAGATTTCAGCTTCGTTTTTACAATACCTTTTACTCAAAGTGACTGTTAACAAATTGGGTGTTCCTGGATAAGATTTCTCCGTCTGGTCCAATGTTCCTTTTCCAGCCCTGATTGGAGATGCAGTTCGACTTCGATTTCCACCATATGGTGAGGCTGGGGCGCTGTTGGTTTCATTGATTATGAGGACAGGAGACTGAGAAACAAGTAGAGTCTTAATGTCATCCATGCATTCTGTTTTCACTGGTGTTATTTCCTCAGCGGCAGTAGAGGGCGTATGAGTTTGCTGAAATATGGTATTGGTGGCCACACTCTGAGTGCTCGCACAACCACTCTCCAGTGAAGGTGGCTGATCAAAGGATCGTAACTGGAAGTCATCATCCATTGGGATGTAAGGAGCTAACATCTCCAAGTCTAAATCAGTTTCCTGAAAGAATAATAAAACGGGTAAATAAAGTTTCTAGGGGATCTGTGCAATACCCAAGAATGCGTCATCATCTGTAAATAGTCTGCCACTTCCCCTCTCCCCAAACCTCTGGAATAGTGCTGTGTGAACACCATTTTTTTATATCTCAAAAACTATTTAGAAACAAGCTACCAACTCGTCTTCCATTTTCAGAAATACTGCTCCTGCATTTTAACACATTAATTTTAACATTTGATAAAATAAGCTTACAGATACTGTGCTCTAGGATACGCTTAAGATGACATTTAAGTTTAACTTAACGTACATACCTGAGTAGAGAATGGATTTTTTGCTTCTGTGTCTATTGCAAAGAGTTTTTCCACTAATTCCAGCTTAAACTCATTAGCCATATCATTATCCACATCAAAGCAATACTCATTGGGACTACGGGGCTGTCAAGACAAATCAATTCAATTTTAAGTACAAATTTTCAATTGGTTCAACATTGTGTTATTTTCCATTGTTTCAAGAAACAATGGGCTTAAACTGTAGCAAGGGAAGTTTAGGTTGGACATTAGGAAAAACTTCCTGTCAGGGTGGTTAGGCACTGGAATAAATTGCCTAGGGAGGTTGTAGAATGTCGAGCACTGGAGATTTTTAAGAGCAGTTTGGACAAACACCTGTCAGGAATGGTTTAGGTAATACTGGAGACTGGACTAGATGACCTCTCGAGGTCCCTTCCAGTCCTATGATTCTACAGCTTCACGCTAAAAAACCCCCATAAAAACATGCAACCAAACTATAATTGCAAAAATTTCATGAAAACTCAATGGGACTGGATAGTATTTGCATTCATCTAAATATGCCCAGAGTTTTCACCATCGTCAGCTTGAATAGATCGCCCCAATTTGGGGACTGTGGGACAGGTATAAATGTGTCAGAAGTTTATACACTGATTTGCTGTAACTCACTCATTAATTGCAATAAGCATATCTCTGAATCTTAAGTTCTTTAAAAGACGTACTCAAAACAGTTACATGCTTCATATGCAGTTTCAATCTCTAATTTTTTAAAAAACTGAAAATATAGCTTTCAAACTGAAAAGTAAAGTAATCTTTTATTGACAGGTCATGCTGTAAATATAATTTAACAGTACATGGCCACAATTTATAAATACAGTCAAAACAATTATGCAAATACTCTAAAAAACAAACTCCGTGGCTGCCATAGTGTCTAGAGATATTTACTCAAAAGCCTACCACACATTTATTTGGATGACTGTCTTCCCAAACTGTATGACTGACCTCAGGTGAACTTTGGTTAGTGCTTGCCTCAGAAGGGCTGGCTGGCTGTTCTTGCCTCTGGTGGCTGGAAAATGCAAGTTCGAGTGGCTCTGTGTTTGGCTCCAGCTTTGATACAACTTCTCTGTTGAGTGCAGGGTCAGCATTGCTACGAAGTGGCTTTGTGGCTTCAGAGGCAGGAAGTGGGGACATTGCCAAATTTATATTCTGCAATTTCTCACTGGATGAGGGGAGCATTACATCATTATACAAAGGAACTTCATCATATTGTTGCTCATCAGACTCTATAAAAATTAAAAAAAACAATCAACCTAAGTAAAAGCGCTGAGTGGGTCTATGGACCTCATTAAATAACAGCAGCTGAAATATTTTTTGTTAAGCAAGTGATACCAGCAGGTTATTTTCTAATGTTTATTTTAACATACACGAATATGATCAATCAGTAGGGTCTCTGACTTAAACACAAACCCACCATTACTGCTGAAATCTAAAGAGATAATCGTGTCTCCAGGAGCTGGTGCGAGCAAAGTTAAAGCATCTGGTTCCTTTTTAAGTTTTTCAAAGAGGCTGTTAGTATCTTCTAGGTCAGCCTTGCTGAATATTTTCATATCAGGAGACTCCACTGGTTTCAGCATGCACTCAGTCTGTGCAAGGGAAAGAAATAACTCCTTCTGTACAATCTCACTGTCAAAACCAAAAAGAAAGACTATTCTTTAAAGAGCAGCTAGCAGCTCATGGGAAGTTCAGAAACAATTCTGCCAATTCTATTTTGTTTCTCTTTGCTCGTCCTATGCATTTTCATTAACACAGAAGTTTTTAAAATTCTGTTATTGCCCATTCATCCCTCAAATTCAATCTTTTCAGAAACCAATTGTGATCATATAAAGGGATAACTTCACGTAAGTAATTATGACGGCTGTGCTTTATTAAAATGTCAGTAATAAACAGATTAAAAAAATACCAAACACAGATATGGAAATCTTAATTTTTTTTACACAACAATTATATGCTGTTTTACTGGTTATTACAGATTAATTCACAATTTTGAAGAAGTTTTCAAAAGATTTCCAAAAACAGCAAGTTGCAGTCAATATTAGCAATGCAGTTATTTTACCAGTGAAAAGTTAAAGTTTTGAGGAAACAAGAAAAGTCACACTTATGAAGAAGCGGGAGGAAAGATTATATTTTAACAGAGTTAAATAGTGTTAAAGAGGGACAGAGTTAACACACCACTGAAAAACTCCAGACAAAAAGGTAAAATTAGAGATCTGGACATCTATCTAGACCAGGGGAGGGCAAACTAAGGCCCATGGGCCAGATCTGGCCCATCAGGGCTTTCAATCCAGCTCGCAGGGTTGCCAGCCCTGCTGCGTGCCACTGCCACCCCAGAGCCACTTGAGGTAAGTGGCGCCGGGCCGGAGCCTGCACCCCTCCTGCACCCCAAACCCTAACCGCCTATCCTGAGCTCCCTCCTGCACCCCAACCCCCTGCCCTGAGCCCCCTGCCGCACCCCTCCTGCAGAGTCCTTCCTAATTCTACATTCAGATTTTCCCATTGACATCAATGGGAGTTCTAGGTATACATTAAAGAGCGACTCTACTTCTCAGTTTATTGCTCCCTTAACCCTGTAACTGGCACTTTTCTAGGCGAATGCAAAGCATTGCTTGTAAAGGAAATAGTAAATGCCAGAACCTATCTAACATGAGGTCAGATCCTTTGGGCTTTGGCTCAATCTACAATGAAGAAACATGCAAAAAGTGTTTAACTACTCACAGCTTACCTCAAGACGTAATTTACACACACTATGCACTGTGGTTGGGAGTTCTTAGTGCTGTATATAACAGTTGCTTGAGTTTCAACCCAGACATATCCACCGTGTTTAGCAAGCATTCTGTACTGTCCTGTAGTCACTTGCCCTTTAGTGAACACTAAAGCAGAAAGGTCAACTTTAGCTATAAAAAGTCACTTCATTATTCTAAAGCAAAAATAAACAATCACTTCAGAGCCACACTCGCTATTAAAATCTTTCAAGTAGTTCCCTCCCCACACACCCCCTCCCTATCTTATCTAAAGGACTTAAATTACAGAGAGTTATAGGTCTGTCTTTCCACTTACTATCATGATGGGTTTTGGTCAGATGATCAGAGTCCAGAGCATGATAGTATTCATAGATGGAGTGACCCAAGAGTTCTTCTGGCTCATATCCCATCAGCTCTGTAATTCTTTATATTGAAAAGAAGAAAGAAAAAAAGTTAAGTGAAAGCAGAAATAGAGAAGTAGATAAGAACATGAGAATGGCCCTACTGGGTCAGACCAATGGTACATATAAGCCCAGTATCCCATCTTCCAACAGCGACCAGTACCAGTGCGTCAGAGAGAATGAACAGAACAGGGTAATTATTGAGTGATCCATACTGCCGTCCAGTCCCAGCTTATGGCTGTCAGAGGTGTAGGGTCACAAGAGCATGGTGCTGCATCCCTGACCTCTTGGCTAACAATCATTTATTTTTATGATTAGATGAATATATTTAATGCAGATGTTAATGGCTCTAAAGATACAATCTCTTCCAAACCAGAAACTCCCAGATGAATACATTGCCAACAACAGTGGTGCGTTTAAATGAGAGTTTTCCTTTCAAGCAGGGTTAAACTGAGGAAACTTATCTCTTCTGATGTTTGCCTAACTCAAAGATCTCATAGTCCTATTCTACTAGTCTTTCTAGGCACAGTTTTACTACCAGCTGGAATGTTCATAACCCTCCACTTCTGGATATTAAAATCTAATCTCAGCTCTTTATACATCAATTTTTCTCTTATTAAATACAGGACAGTGGCTACTCTGAAAGGATGTAGTATGCCATTTGTACTATAATAATAGTATATTCAGAAGTTAAATCAATACTAATTAATACTATATTCAGAAGTTAAATCAAATATAGATAAGATATTATACCTGCTTCAGCACTATTTTATTCTGTAATTGTTTAAGATGAATAAGAATCGGAAATTTCAGCAATCCTAACTTTTACAAGCGCAATCCCTTTAACCACTAGATGGCAGTGTTGTGCACAGAACAAAAACAAGAGCACTCAGTTTAGCTGCCAACAAAAGAAACCAGAGAAACAGAACACACAGAAATGGCACTGATCTCACTAAACTGGCTGAATCGGTGCAATTTCTGCATGCACACCAGTTCCGAAAAAACACTTGCACTAACATACAATATTTGTTTGAATCTAACAGCAACCTGATGAAGCAACAGTTTACGTTAGAAGCAGCAATCTCCGACCACTGCTTATTCTATCAAGAAGTAGTAGCATACACTGGTATTGATCGCAGTTTTAAATCCAATGTTGTAAAGTTACTTATTCCATATTCGCAAAAAGAAAAGGAGTACTTGTGGCACCTTAGAGACTAACCAATTTATTTGAGCATGAGCTTTCGTGAGCTACAGCTCACTTCATCAGATGTTTACCGTGGAAACTGCAGCAGACTTTATATACACACAGAAATCATGAAACAATACCTCCTCCCACCCCACTGTCCTGCTGGTAATAGCTTATCTAAAGTGATCAACAGGTGGGCCATTTCCAGCACAAATCCAGGTTTTCTATTTGTGCTGGAAATGGCCCACCTGTTGATCACTTTAGATAAGCTATTACCAGCAGGACAGTGGGGTGGGAGGAGGTATTGTTTCATGATTTCTGTGTGTATATAAAGTCTGCTGCAGTTTCCACGGTAAACATCTGATGAAGTGAGCTGTAGCTCACGAAAGCTCATGCTCAAATAAATTGGTTAGTCTCTAAGGTGCCACAAGTACTCCTTTTCTTTTTGCGAATACAGACTAACACGGCTGTTCCTCTGAAACTTATTCCATATTCTGACCTTGTCAAACTAAGTTTTCACTACGAGCTTGTTAGATAAATTCATTTTGCTCAGAAGTGGTCAACTGTACACATGCAAGAAAGGTTTATAAAGAAATACAAAACACTGAAATTAGCAGCTGTGTTACACCCCAGAGGTGGCTGCACTTCACTGATGGATAAAAGGGTATCTGATTTTTAAAATGCCTTTAGATCCTTCTGGATGAAAGGTGCTACTCTGCCAATTCAAATTCTTCCAAAAGTGATGAATCCATACAGGAATTATTTCCTTAATGTAGTAAACTTCTCAGGTTAAAAAAAAAAAAAAAAGAAATCCTTGCTTTTTACATAAAATATATTGACCAATTAAAAAATGACAAGCTAGGTAAAACTTGAAGTACCACATATGAACTCAGTTTTATAGATAGGTGAAAGTTAAGCAATAAAACTACTCACAAGTATAAAAACTACAATAATGCATTGAATGTTTGTCAGAGCTTATATTTGGCTTTACCTTTCATCACAATATGAAAATTTCATATCCAGGCTGTGGCGACTGAGGAATGTCTTGCTGTCCAAAGGGACTTCAATGTTTGATGGATGAGGGATAGGTACACAGATCAACACCAAGCATGTCATGGGAGGCTTCTTATATCCACAGAGAGTCTGATTATTGCAGGTATCATACACACGAACATGCCCTGTACAGTGAAGTACCTATGAGGGGGGGAGGGGGGAAAACATTTAAAAAACTAAGTTCTGTATTGGAAAAGGAGATTGACATAATAACTGTTTTAGTTTCATAAGTGGGCAGTGGCCTTCCTCTCTCCCTCTGCCCTAGGTGAGCTATTGGTGTCCGTAACCAAAATGCAATAGCAGCATTCAAGCAATATACATGACATCTGCTACAGTTATGTTAAAAAAAAATTCCTCCCCACTTAAACTATGCACATTAAAAATGTTAAGTTGGCTACCAACTTTTTTTTCCTTTTTGGTGCTCACTGAATTTACACTTAAGTTAATTGATTCATCTTTGAAAATTGCCTCTACAGCCAACAGACGAGTGCAATCACTCATCAGTGACATTGTGCATTAGCAGATGGTGTTTGATTGCTTGTATTTCAATTTGAAACACAGACAGAAGATACAGCTTATATTCTGTTTGAAACAGAGACAGAAGACAAAGCTGTATTTTGCATTCTTTGTGGGGATTAAAGGTGGAAGGAGAGAGTTCCAACACACTCCAAATAGTCCTGAAAGACAAAAGCCTGGCAATCACTTTGCCTCCCTATGAGTCTGAAGTCAGAATTGTTTCTAAGAGTGGGGAGCTGATCATGAATACATGACAAACTGAAAGCCATGGAAAAACCTTTCTGAACAGAGTGTAATAGAGTTACCACAGTTAAGGTCACTTTGTGAAGGAGCCTAGCATTATTATACCTCTTTTGCTGGTTCTCCCCCACACCATAACTGGAATAAAATATAGCTAATTTGAGTCTCTTTAAATGGATCGAGACTCAAATTAACTATATTTTATTCCAGTTATGGTGTGGGGGAGAACCAGCAAAAGAGGTATAATAAAGCTAGGATCCTTCACAAAGTGACCTTAACTGTGGTAACCACTTTAAAGTCAATCAGGATCAGTCATCATCATGATGTAATCCTAGTTAGTTTTATGCAAGAGCAGGAAGCTTCACGCAAATATTTTAATGATTAGTGATTCCTGATTTAAGTTGAAAGGTCAGTATTAAAAAGGTTCTCTTATTTTGAAAATGACTGTTCAGTTACATCCTAGGCATGTTCTAAGTTGCAGTGCAGCATACTTAAGAACTTCTAGTCAAAAGAGTGCACTGTAGGTTTTACCAAATCAGCAAGAAATTGGAGAATGCTAAATTGCACTACTGCAAGCTAACTATTTTATACTTTGTTCCAAATGTGGATACTTGTACCTGATGAGATCTGAAAAGCAAAGGTTCTAGTTATATCAGTATTCATGTATACCCCATGGTTGGTTACCTTCCATGTTGCAGACTTTATATTCACGGTCCTTCCCCTGCTGGTCAGCGTGCACTTCATTCTGAGGAAAAAGCTACGCTCTGTATTCTGTTCTTTGCCCTTTTTCATAGGACCTAATAAAAAATATTAAGTGAAATGTGAGTATTTCATCACCTTCACAAGCTTCAAATAAGTGCAGCAAAACTAGCTGTGTGACTAGAATAAAGGACACATGAAAGTAGGGATGAAATGGTTATTTTTGTGTGAATGATGCATGCTGGGAGGCCTGACCGCATTTTAGATATGAGGAGTTTTCAAGTAAGTTTTTACTCTGAGATAGGCAAAAGAGGATATTGCAATGCTGGACCTGCCAAAACAAGGATAGGTTCAAGGTTCCATTTACAGTAATCCCCCTGATTTCAACGTGAGGACAGATGGGGGAGAGAGAAAGAGAGAGAGACTGACTGAGAATTAATGTGTATTGTTCTTCCCCCATCTCTATTTTAAACACACAAGAAAATTAGTCTGAACCCTCTCCACACCCAATAACTCATGGTGGGTGGGGGAAAAAAGAAGGCTAGATATATTGTACCAATTTTGGCCTATCTTTAGGTTTTCAGTATTTAAAAAATAAAAAACAAACACAAACACTATTTCAATTCAGTTTTAATCATCTGCATGATTTACTGAGAGTAACATGCTGATGCTGCATAGAGGTCTCCAAGACTGGGACCGAAGCTGATGCCTAGCCACTCAGGGTGGGATTGATGTTGAAGGAGAATCACAGCTCCTTAATAATGGGTACTTGGCTCTGTTTTGACCCATAGCAGCCTTTATTGACAAACAGCTCTATACCATCTGGAACACTACAAGGGATTTTATGGAAATTAAGGAACCTGCTTCAAAGAGTTTACAGTGCGAAGTAGAGAAACACAGAACATGAACACAGGTTTCAGAGTAGCAGCCGTGTTAGTCTGTATTCGCAAAAAGAAAAGGAGGACTTGGGCACCTTAGAGACTAACACATTTATTTGAGCATAAGCTTTCGTGAGTTACAGCTCACTACAGATCTCCCCACTATATTTTCCACTGAATGCAACCGATGAAGTGAGCTGTAGCTCACAAAAACTTATGCTCAAATAAATGTGTTAATCTTTCAACAGTTCTCTCACCCTATTTCTCCTCCCCCCCCCGCCATCCTTTGCCTATCTTCATGTTCTGTAAAAAGAAAAGGAGTACTTGTGGCACCTTAGAGACTAACAGTTCTATTACACATCTCACCCCCAAAACTATTTTATTATAGCACCAGTCATGACAGCAGGAGTTAAGATTGTGTCCAAGTCCCTGTTACAGATACAGGAATGTGTCTATATATGAACTTAGAATTGTACAATAAGTATGAACCAAGTTTTGAAACACACCTTCAACTCCCTTGAAGTCAATGGAGAAATCTTAGTGCAACCTAATATTAATGGATCCCATTTTATGTTACTGTACAAATCATCTAATTGTGGTGCACCTGGATTCATTAACAAACTTCTGAAGACTAATCATGATTTTTAAAGCGTTGTGATAAAAATGAGAAGTCTGAATTTCAGAGAGGTCTATTTCAACAGGAACAAACTGCTCAGACTGGGCAGAGAAGGTGCAAACTGCCTCATCAACACAAGTGTAAGCAGCTTAGTGCCTTTGTGAGTGGAAACAGATGGACAGATGAGGTTTGGGGATGGTGGGAGAATTAGTTTGCAGGAATGCATTCATAATGACTTTATGCCACCAATTTGACCTGGTACAATTTGGAAGCTTACAGAACACAGGCTCATTCTAGCATACATTACAGCTATGGACTAGTCTGTTCATACTCTGAAGACAACACAGTTATGACATTCACAGGAAGAAAAATGGATAGAATGCACATGTTCAGAGGATCATAGCAATAACATATCAACTCAAAGTTTTTAAAACAGCACACAGTTTCTGGGTGCATGAACTAGGCAAAGCATATTCAGAAATCTACAATTCACAATATTACCATCATTATTACTTTCTGAATAATCTGTCTAAACATCTTAATGTGTGGTTGTACTCTGAGGAGCAGCTGTATAAAGATGGCACATTTACTGGTTCTTGGTGACTTAGATCTATGCAAGTTGTTTTCAAATTGACAATTCTGAAAACACAAACTGGGATCTGAAACTAAACTGTGCTGTGATTGTACAGCATTACTAATAAATGTTTCTGCTAGCCAAATGTTAGCTTCAGTTACACCTGTACGATCACATACAGCAATATTTAGCACCAAGACTGAAAACGGGTTAATAATTCTGTTATATGTGAGCCAGAACAAAACCTAGGTTATTCAAAGCCATGTTAGCCTTGTAGGGATAACAAATAAAGACATACTTTTGTTATTGCAGTCAGGAAATAGAACTCAATTATATACAGAAAAGAGATCTTCTGAGTGAGGGGGTAGGTAAACCATGTTGAAAACTGACTAATTTAGACATGCCAGAATGGGTCTACATTGTATCTACTTATTATGAAACGTTAGTCTTTAAAAAGAATTTATCTTTGCAACAGATCCATTTATATCCTGCTGTATTGAATATAGCATTGCTTCAAGTACAAAGATCCAATTTAGCACTGGATGCATGGACCAGTAATGATGGCAGGAAGATTTAGAAAATTCAGTATTAATATTAAAAGGGCCTGTTTTTCCTTTACACTGGCTTTAAACTAGTCTTCTCCACTGACTTCAGAGTCACTCCTGATTTACCTTGGTGTGAGAAAACAGAATCAAGTCCTACACATTTTGATGACATGTAGGAATTTATAATCATCTTCTGTTTAATCATTCCAGGGACTCAGGGTAGGTCTACAATGCGGCTGGAGGTATAATTATCTGTGCTAGCTTTGATCAAACCAGCGCACTAAAAATAGCAGTGCGGGTGGCAGTTAAGGTTAGCCACTTGCGTACAATCCTGTCCGAGACCCTAGGTAAGTATTCAGGTAGCTAGCCCACACCTTCACAGCTACGCTGCTCTTTTTAGTGTGCTAGCTCAATCGAAGTTAGTACAGGTATGTCTATCCAAGTTGGAAATTACACCCCACCTGCGATGTAAACCTACCCTCCGTGACATTCTCCCCTTCAATAAGCACAGTGGCTTTGCTTGGCTGCCACCTATCCAATATCTGAACTTTTTCCCCTATTTGCTGCAGTGGAAATATAGTAGCTCAATTGCACAGTCTACACTGAGCCTGGAAATGGCTGATGAGTAAAAGGATTGTGGAAGTTTTAATTTTTGCTAGTGCAGTTGGAGAAAATGGGATTCGTGTGTTCCATTCTAGTACAGAGAAAACAAAACTATGAAATATACTCTGTGTCAAAGACAGTAACTTCAGAAGAACTGCAGTGAAGCAACAGCTTAGTCAAAGACCAGTATTAGCTGAAGATTCATTTTACTTTAAATATTTTTGGTTAGTCCTAAATTCATGCCAAAGCAAGATCTAAAATCATCTGAAATTTATAAAGCTACTGCATGATTCTTTTCTATACCTTTTCTGAGAACTGCAACCTAAATATAACTTCTTCCAGCATCCTGTGGAAAGATTTGCCCTGCACAGACACTCCAAGACCAATACAGAAAAATACAGATTTATTATCTTCAAATTCTTCTATATCAACCAATTAAGATGTTCTTTACACTCACCCTACCTCTAAATGTTTCTTATCTTTTACGCATTTTCATTCCTTCCATCTTCAATAATTTTATTTGATACAAACTTTTTTTTTTTTTTAAAAAAAGCACTACTGAGAGATATGAGTTACTCGGAACATCCATCCCCTGAAGTAGCGTGAGATCTCGGTAGAATTTGAGTTGTTTCTGACACCTCTTACTATAGTGTCCCAACTAGATTTGTTGTGAGCTCTGAGAAGTGAAGTGTAGCAAGTAGTTCTCTCCACTGACTCCTTTTTTCCCCTTCACAGTTATTTTATTCTTTAAATACCTTTGGTGCCTGTTCTAAAGAAGCCACAGAAGTCTCAGTAACCAGGTAACTGTGGATTCAGGCTTTTTCCTATTCAAGTAAATGAGGTAAACAATATCAAAACTGATAATATCTGCAGCTGATTATACAACACTGATAGGAACCGTCTGTCATTAAAGAGTAGCCTCTTCTTACCATTTCTATGTGTAAGCATTTCTCTCAGCTCTTCATGGTCACATGGGTGGGTAAAATCGAACACAGTGTGCCCAGTCAGCTCAAACTGTAGAAGTAAAAAAGAGTGTGAGTCTAGCTCCGAGTAGTCAAGAATGTACAGTAGGCACGACATTGTAATTGCATTTAAAGATGTGTCAGTATTTCACCTGAGTGAGCCCCATACACTTGTTCACATTTTCAGACATGTAAATCATGTCACCATCCTCGGAAAGAACCATGACAAATCCATCAAGGGCTTTTAAGTAAAAGCAATTCATCTCCTTCTCCATTTTGGCTTCTGTCTCCAGGTCACCTAGAAGAGCCCACATTTTTATTGTTTTTTAGATGAAACTCACGTAATTCACACTTTGTTGCCTGAAGTCATCCCACACATTAACAGCTATTTTGACAGGCTACTCACCAAAGACAGCACAATTCTCTTACTGGGATACTTAGCTGGAGAGATGGTTGTCCTGATTAAGCATCTCACTTAAAAACATGAGCTTTCAAAGACTGTCTGATAAAAACTTAGTAATACCACATACTATGTTCAAAAATGCCAAAATAAAAGTAACGGTTGCTGCATTTTACCTTTATCTGATCTTTTTTCTTTTAAACTTTAACAACTTCTGCATTAAATGACAAAAGTTTGTATCATTCATCTCTAACGTCTTGGTAAATGCCACTTATTTACCAGGTTTCAGAGTAGCAGCCGTGTTAGTCTGTATCCGCAAAAAGAAAAGGAGGACTTGTGGCACCTTAGAAACTAACACATTTATTTGAGCATGAGCTTTCGTGAGCTGAGCTGTAGCTCACGAAAGCTTACGCTCAAATAAATTTGTTAGTCTCTAAGGTGCCACAAGTACTTCTTTACTTATTTACCAGGCACTGACTAGATGGGTCCTCTATTACACAGAGTTTAAACTACTATCTCACTTATGCAGCAGTCACTCCCCATCGCTACCACTATTTCCTGGAACACGTATTACTGAGGCGTATCTTAAGTGGAGCACAACATATAATGGTTTTCAGTGGTTTCATTTAAACAGGAATGCTCAAATTTAGCAAACCTAATCTTAGATCTACCAACTACATATGGGGTCCTGTGAGCTATCTTGGGTATAATCGACCTCCCTTCTCACAAGGGAAGCAGGCAGAGTGGAGATGGTGTCAAGTTTTATGCCCAGAAACTTGAGAGCCTGATTTTTGTGGGGGAGTCACAGCTGAGATTTTTAAAAAATAAGATAATGGTGCTGGTCTTCTTAGGGATCCAAGAGATATCAGGAATAAGTATAAGAAAAATGGAGTGTACGTTACAGTTTAGGCCCCCCTCAGCCTGGCTGTATCTATTTAATCTCTCTCCCCACAGTAAAAGGTAACGTTCTAGTTTTTCTAGTGTCTTCATTGATATCCCAATGGAGGGAGGCTATCTTTAACCAATGTAAAAGGCAAGGGGCAAGTTCAGATCACTCAGACCCCTTTCCTGGCCTCTCTGTTGGTAAGCCATAATAAGTTTATTCACTTACTTGCATCTAACAGCTTTCTCATGCGTAAGTAGCTGATAGTCAGCCTCATAATGGAGGCCTTGTCAAGGTGTGCGCTGACAGTATGAGGAAGAGGCAGCTGGTGAGCAAGTTCATAGAAAACTTCAGATTCCTTGCTTCTTCGGCATCTGGCTGCATCTCTCGACTTCTCCTTTCTGCGATCTGAACTAATCCTGTATGAATAAAATTTTAGATTATTAACATACATTGGAGGCAACGTTATCACAGTGACACAAACACATTCCTTCCGCCTTTATATCTAAGCTACTTGTTTAGACAACAATTGTGGATTGACAATACTACACTGCAGCTTCAATGGAAATATTCTTGGCATTTCCAAGTGTGACCGTTACAAGATTAAATTGGCAAATGCAAAAAAGATTTATAAACAAAGTTTGTTTAAAAAATAAATAGTTTATCTAGAAGTAGCATGCCTCATTCTTCTGAGAATATCAAATTACTGTGCTAGTGAAGTTTCACTACATTCAGTCATCAACTTAATTTTAACATGGCAAAAAAGAGAGCTCCTGTTCTTTCACCTAAAGCACTCCCCTGTCCCCTTTTCTCTACCATGATGGACAACACTGCTGCCCTACCTGTCAGAGTTTATAATCTTGGCTTTATATTTGACTCAGCTTTTTTACCCACCTCTCCAGACCTTGTCTAAATCTTGCGGCTTCTTCCTCAACATATGCAAGACATGACCTTTTCTACTCACTGCTGAACTCTTGATCAAGCCCTGACCATCTCATGTCTTGATTATTGTGAACTCCTCTTCTCTGGCCTCAATCCTCCAAACTTGCCCTATCCTTCAAATTCACTCAGAATACAGCTGCTAAAGTTATTTTTGGTTTGTTGCTCTGACTACATCACACACACCTCTCTCTCTCTCTCTTTTTTAATCCCCTCCATTGGTCCCTCTTCTCCTAATGCATCAGACAAACTTCCTGTCCCTACTTACAAAGCTCTTAACAATTTAGCCCATCCCTTCCTATTTGACCTATCATCACAAGGTGGGCTCTGCCAAAGATGCCAGCCTCACTGCCTAATCCTCCTTTTCCTCCATCAAACACATCTATACTCTCTCCTATGCTGGTCCTTGTCACTGGGAGCTTATCCCAGTTGTAATCTGTAACGCCACCACCTTCAAGTCCTTCCTCAAAACTCACCTCTGCTGGGATGCACACAGTAAGTTACAATCAGATAATGACTGGGCAGGTGGCAAGCTGTGACTGTGACAGATGGACAATATTCCGAATAAACCTTAAGGGTTAATACCTTTGGGGTACATTGTATTAAAATGCAATTGTGTGTGTGTTATTGTGGCATTGTATGTACATTCCGCAGGAGGGAAGCGGGGAGACTCATGCACTTCCTCCATTATCAACCATTTAAAGCTACTTCCTGGAGAGGTAAGCATATACTAGTTCAAGTGTATTCTCCAGGGACCAGAAGAAAAATAAAGGGTTTTTGGATAAACAACTTGATTTTAAACTGGCTCATGACCTTCTTCCTGATTCATTGAACAGTCCTTAGGGTAGGTTTGGAAAGACTGGGCCTACTGGGTACTTGTTCTGAGTTGCAGCGGTGATGAACTCATAACCACGAGGAATCAGCTTGGGTGGGGAGTAGAAGGATTGCTCCTGCCAGAACCTATGTTAGAGTGAACTCTGTTAAGCTTATTAGTATGTAAGTAAGTTCTTTTACTGTTTTTAGTATGTTTTCTCTGTAATGCTTTTTACCTTAAGAATAGGCTTGCATAAGAAGTGCTGTGTGGTGCCTTATAACTTTGGCAATTAAAGACACGTTAACGGTCTCTGAACAGAAAGCAAGCAGGTGTCCTTGGACAATTTATCTGTGCTGGGAATAAACACAGTAAAGGCAGGAAACTGTGCAATCTGGAAATACCCCAGTCAGAAAGGTCTCTACATAAGAGGCAATAGCTGAGGAGCTAGAAAGCTGAGAGTATCCCTGTTGTACACTGAACGGAAATATAGATGCAGTTGCCCTGAACTGCTACATACGGTGGTAGCAGGTATGCGATCTGTAACAATGTGAATTGCTAAGTGCCAAAAGCAGTAAAAGTACTGTAGAAGGAAAAACAGAGAAAAAAGCATTGACAGTCCCTTTGGGAAAAGAAATAGCGAAGAGAGAAAGAAGGGAAAATGAATTATGATCAGCTAAAGAAAACGTGGCTGATTGAGTTATGAAGAGAAAGGGAAATTAGAACCAAAGAAACAAAATCACAGTTGATTTGTTGTGTTCTAATGACCAGTCGAGAAATGATGATCTGTGTTGCTGCTGAAAGAGGGACCAGCGGTTGGGTGTTGGCTCTGAGATTCTCCCCTAGAGAGAAACAGGGAAGAGTCCAACTTTTTAGAGTGCTTACTTAGGAGGGTGGTCTTGTCTTGTCTTTTAGTTGTGGGCCTCTGTGTCTATCAATACTCCAAGATGTACTAGGTGCTGAGATGGTTGAAGATGACTCTTCAGAATTTACTATGAATCCATCCTGTTGCACCATTTGGACCCAAGGACAGGCTCTGAACAGAACATTGTCCAGGAAAAGGTACATCTGTACACTCTTCGGCCTGAGAACAGTCACCAAGACGACAAGGACTTCTGTGAACACTCAAGGAACGGATGACAGTCCAAAAAACAACGTGTTATATTGAAAATGATTGGTCCCATGAACAAATTGCAAAAATCTATTGTGCATTGGTGAACCAGCATATTAAGGTAGGCATCCTTCAAGTAACTAATGCAAGGTAATCCCCCAGTTGAACCACATCCAGGACCCATCTGTCAGTTGTTGAGAGAAGCCGACTGCAACCAGAGAGCATTTCTAGTGCTGGCATTTGCACTGAGGGAAGACTGGCTTCTCCTCTTTCTAGACTTAGACATGTTTAACCTGCTTTTGCTGTAGTCTCACCTTCATTACTTAGCCAGAGTAGCCATTACTTAGCCAGAGTAGCCATGAAAAGGATACTTAGGCCTGTAATAAGGTCAGCTTTTCCTTTCCCATGTCTGGAACCAGGACGGTTCTTTAAGAACTTTTTTAATTTATCTGAGGACTGTCACCACTTTGTCCAATGACTCCCCAAATAACCAACCTATTTAAAATTTCGAAGCTGCTAACATGGTTTTGGCAACCACTGTATCCTGTACTGAACCAAGCAAAGCTACCTAACAGCCGCATGGACATGTCCTTTTGTTTCAAACTGGATCGCAGGGTGAGCAAGGCAGGCTTCCATACGGCTGACTCACACCTTGTTTTATCACTCTGTTTGTTTTAACAAGTGGTGGGCCACGAGGCCTCTTACCACCCGCTTGTTCCTCTATATCTGAGCTGCTCCTCTCAGCCCTCCAGGGCTGGCTGTATGGGGCGTGGTCAACCCAAAACAAGCAGGATTTCGTTAGTCCAGCAGTTGTGGCGTGACTGACCTGCAGCATGAGCAGGGTCCTGTTAGCCCATGCATTCTTGTGCCTTTTCTGCCAGCTTTTCTATTCCTCTGGTTAATTATGTGATGCAAAAAAAACAAACACAAAAACAAACCCAACCAATCATCATTAGTTATTTACTGCCTATTCTTTTCTCCAGATATTTGGACAAATGGGGATTTAACGCATGATTTCAGGAACTATAGTCATTCTCTGAAATATCTCAAATCGTTTCCTGTAGTAATGTGTCCATTTTGCCCTTCTCAGACAAAACCACAATTGTCCTGTTAAGTAATGGCTTGGATATATTGGTTCAGAACAGTCAAACTTGAATGTGTTTCAATTCGAGAAGCCGGGCTCTTTGAATTTCCCTCTAATTTCTGTTGCAGATGTTTCCAGTTGAAGTTAGATTCCTTCCGACTATCGGGATGAAATAAACTACTTCTCCCGGCACTGGTTTAACAAAACTGTTTCAAATGATTTACTTAAAACAGTGCAAAGTCTGCAAAGGCAGAATTAAATTTAGCTTATATTTAACTTAAATCAATAAGCCAGGTACAAACCAATTTTAGTTAAGCCTGTGCAACTAGACATGGCCTAGAACTGCCACGCCCAAGTCCGTCTGCTGCAAAAGCCCACTGTGGAGAGCTTGACTCAAATTCCCCTCCTGCCCCTTGACTCAAGACACCCCCCACCCACATAGCTTTTTAAATATAGGTGCAGGTTATTACCAAAATAGTAACCACAGGACTACTATCCAATAAAAACAATTTGTTTACTCTTACCTAATCTAAAGGATCTGGGTATAGGAAGGAAAGATTTACCACAAAACACTTAGAAATGTAATGGAAAAGTCCTCTCCCACTTAGCTGCATATATAGATTTTCTTGTGACATTTAATTTCCTGCCCTATCTAAAAATCCAAAGGGGGGCGGGGGGAGAAAAAGACCATTACTATTAATGTAACATCTCAAGTGGCTAGATATACAAATTATTTTGGACTTTTAAGCAAAAAGACACATAGTAACTTTTGTATCATGACCTGCCTTTTTGTAATTCCCCAATAACTAGGTTTAACCCCAGCCACCTCACAGGAAGGTTTCAGTACTATTAGGTTTCCAAGAATCCACAGGCTGCCCTCAGATTCCAGTTTTAAACCACCAATACACGTCATGATCTCTAACTGATGAAATAAAATAACGCAGGCAACAGTAAAACCTGATAAATACTTAATTATAACTAGGGCTGTGGTTTGATTGCAGTTAACTCATGCGATTAACTCAAAAAAATTAATCACAATTAATTGCACTGTTAAACAATAGAATACCAATTGAAATGTATTAAATATTTTTGGATGTTTTTCTACATTTTCAAATATATTGATTTCAATTACAACACATAATACAAAGTGGAGAGTGCTCACTTCAATATAATAAATTAATATTTTTTATTAAATATTTTCCACTGTAAAAATGATAAAATAGTATTTTTCAATTCACCTCCTACAAGTACTATAGTACAATCTCTTTATCGAGAAAGTGTAACTTACAAATGTAGTGGGGGTTTTTTATCACATAACAGCACTCAAAAACAAAACTATGCAAAATTTTAGAGCCTACAAGTCCACTCAGTCTACTTCTTGTTCAGCCAATCACAAAGACAAACAAGTTTGATTACATTTACAGGAGATAATGCTGCCTGCTTCTTATTAACAATGTCACCAGAAAGTGAGAAC